GACATTGATCTTGTTTGCATGTCTTGATTATTGAGAATAATGCTATAAGGAACATGAAGCTAGATATAGATGCTTGGTTTCAGCTCCATGACATCTACAATCAGTAGAGGGGTGGCTGGGTCATATGGTAACTCATTTACTTTTTTGGAGCTATTTCATATTGTTCTACATAACAGATAATTTATATTCTCATCGACAATATACAATGCTCCCGCTTCTCCACACCCTTTCCAGCATTTGTTATCGTTTGTCAATTTCAGCAGCCATTCTGACAGGTATAATGTAGTATATCACTTTAGTTTTAATGTGTCCATCTTTGGTGATTAGTGGCTTTGAGCATATTTTCCATATATGCATGTGTTGGCTATTTGTACATTTTAAATGTCTAGTAAGCCCTTTCCCTGACTTTAGGTAGTTGTTTTCTGGAACCAAGCAGGTTGAGTGCTGTATCTATTTCGGCTATTGATTTATCATCAGCTGGACGGCTTGAACACGTTTTCTCCCATTACATAAGCTATCTCTTTGCTCTGATGATCGCTTCCTTTGCTGTGCAGAAGCAATTAAAAATTGAACATTTACTTATTTATAGTGTGTGTGCATGTGTTAACCATGTCACATGAGTTGACTGTCTTCCTCCACCACGTGGGCTTTCCAGGAGGGGACTGAACTCAGGAACTCAAAGCCTCCTCCACGGAGCCATCTCACTGGCTCTAGAGCTTGTTAGTTTAATGTGCTTCTTTCGTCTGTTTTGATTTTATTGTCTGTACTTCGAGAGTCACAGTCACAAAATCAGTGGAGTCCCCCCGACAGCCGAGTCTGAACGATTGCATCCCACCCTGAGGGAATCCTGCCTGGGAGGGGGCTTGAGTGTAGCCTCAGTTTCCTGGGTTTTTGCCTCTGCCTAAACCATGCAGTGGTGCCTTAGTTTGTGCATTTAATAGCACGTTCCTCTTCCAGTGGGAAGTTTTGGCTGAGTTTACGGATTAATATCATTTGACTTTATTCATTTAATCTTTCTAAAATTTTAGCTAATGTTATCCACTTTGTAATCTTTTAACTGCTTCATGCTTATTCTACCACTTGCTCTATTATTTATTTAAGGCTAAATAATGTTCATTGTGTATGTGTATCACATTTTCTTCATTCATTTTTAACTCATTTGATCTTGTTTATTTGCTGTTTTCTGTTTTTTTTTTTAAAACTATGTCTCGCAGGAAGGTATTTCTAGTTAAATTTCGTGCTCATTGGAATAGACTTTAAAGTTAAATATACACATGTGCTTTCTTAGTTATTTAAAGTGTGTCAGAATTCTCTAGCATCTCCCTTTTATTATTATTATTTTGCACTTGGGCATGGCTGTGAGCACATTTGCGGAGATGATTAAGGGAGATGATCAATTCTGACTGTGGGCAGGGAAGCCCGTTGGCTGGGGCTGCAATAGAACCAGAGAAGAGGAGAAAGTGCACAGACAGAAGTTTTCCCTCTGTCCTCTCTCTGCCATGATGCGTGCTGCCTTCTACACCATGATGGGTTTAAGCCTCTGAGAGCACGAGCCTGGACAGTCCTGTCGGATGTTCTGTTACGGGGCTGGAAAATCTCACACATCCTCTTTCCCCGTATTCGAAGGATGTCTTGTCTTGTTCAAGATCTCAGTGGTCCCTGTGGCTCAGGAAAAGAGTTTATGTTTTATCTAGTCAGATAGTGGGGAAAATTCACAGGACAAACTATGTAGGTTAGAAGTTATTAAGACCGGCTTTAAGTAGTGCTCATGAAATCTGCTGAGCAAGGCTATTGTCCTCTTCCAGAACAATTGGGCTTCTCTGAGATACAAACCACAGTCTCAGTGTGGAGAGAGAACTTCCCTGGGGGTGGGTGGGTGGAGTGGGGGAGCTGGTAGTTCAGCTCCCCCACTACCAACCTGAGAGAATAGCCACTTTATCTCGAAGACGCAGTTTACGTGAGAGGAGCTTAGCAGAGGGCCAGTGGCCAATGCTGAGGTTTCTATTTTATTTATATACCTGCAATATTAACACGATTAGCACTGATTTACTTTTGTTTCTCGCTATAAATTCAAAAGGTGGATTTCACATGCTCCGAGAATCACCAGTTCTTGTCGTGTGTTTGGTCAACCACTGACCCAGAGATCAGGTGATGGTAGTTAGGCCAATCACAGAGAGAGGGGAGTTAGGTTAATCATGGAGAGAGGGAGTTGGGTCAATCATGGAAGGAGGGGAGTTAGGCCAATCATGGAGGAGGGAGTTAGGTCAATCTTGGAGGGAGGGGAGTTAGGTCAATCATGGAGGGAGGGAGATGTTCTGCAAAGGTACGTCTCATTCCCTTGTGATATCAGAGGTAGTTCCTCCAGGGGAACAGTATGCCAAACAGAAATGAGGATCTCGGCCCACAGAAGCCTATTTCAGTCCGCATTATTGCTGATTATATTTAATATGAAAAGGGAAATAGGCTTCTAGTGTGACTAAATGGTGCCATTTGGAGTTTTCACCCAGCAAGGCAGGACGCAGTTTAGAGGGAAAGATGAGGAAAGGATGGACCAAATATCATCTCTTTCCCCAGGGAGCTCTTAGACAAAGGCTCTGGTGGTCAGTTGCAAGTTGTAGCTGGGAAGTCAAGAAGCTACTGCAGGGGCCAGCAAGATGGCTCTGTGGGTAAAGGGCACTTGCTGTCAAGTCTATTGCTGTTAGTTGATTCCTGAGAACCACATGGTGGAAGAAGAGAACTGACTTCTACGAACTGTCCCCAACCTCCGTGTGTGCCCATGGCTCCATGCACTGTTCCTACATCACCAGCTAAATTTTATCTTATCACCCAATTTTTAAAAGTAGACATCTCTTCATACAATATGTTTTATATATTTTCCCTCCCCTACCTCCTCCCCACCCGCGTATCCGCCCAACTTCACGTTCTTTCTCTCTCACAAATAAAAAATAAAAAGAATCAAAAGAAACAAACACAAAAAATGAGACAAAAGTTACCAAAATGAGTAAAAATTTTAAAACATTTAAATAAAGGAAGCTGCCACATAGTGTGTGAGGAAGCTGACAGAGCAATCAGAGTGTGTCTTTTGGAGCAGTTCTGGTGGTCAGCTCGCTAGCACAGCAGGTGACAGCCCACACTCTGCTGAATTACAGGCAGATGCGTTTCAAAGAAAATTTTCTCCATATGGTCTTGCTTCAGGCTGAAGACTTACGTACAGTTGCCCATTTCTATGAAAATAAGAAGTGATCAATTGCAAAAAAAAAAAAATTAACTTTCAGAGGGAGGAGCGATTATATGAGCAAGAGGGGTCAAGACCACGACGGGGAAACCACAAAGACAGCTGACCTGAGCTAGTGGGAGTTCATAGACTCTGGACTGACAGCATGGGGCCAAACTAGGTCCTCTGAATATGGGTGACAGTTGTGTGGCTTGGTGTTTTTTGTGGGACCCCTGGCAGTGGGACCAGGATTTATCCCTGGTGCATGGGCTGGCTTTTGAAATAAAGAAAAGAAAGAACAAAAGAAAAATGCTTTGGAATATTAGAAATTTCCATCAATTAAGCCTATTCATTTATTTTTTGCTTGCTGGACATTGTATTTTTGAAGGCTGACCTTGTTATAATCTAGTGTTGAGAAGCGGCGTTTTGAAGCAACATCGTATTATCTCCCACCCTGGGTCTTAGAGCCACACGTGTGAAGAGAAGATGAGCAGCAATGTGACCAGTTACATATTTCTTCTCCCTCTTCAAGGAGACAGCTTTTCAATAGTAAGTTTTCATTTCTGTGGCCAGATGGTAAAAACACCCATAATACTTCATATATGGTCAGCAGTAAGGTTGACATGATGGATTATGGAACCACCAAAATGGCATATTACAGTTATTAACTGATGATGATCACACACAGAAAGGGGAAGCATGCTCAGGGTTTATTTAAGGGAGACAAGAAAAGTAAAAGCAGGCTCCTATAATCATTCCACCGCATACGCATGTGGACAAGGTTTGGAAGATGAGGCAGCGAGATAGGAGTAAAGCAGTTCTGTTAGGATACTAGGAATCTGGATTCTCAAACGCAGCTTCCCATTTTTCAACAGGGTCTCCTGCAGACCAGGCTGTCCCCCAATCCACAGTGAGAATGACTTTGAACTCTTGATGCTCTTGCCTCTGCTCCCCCACCCCCCGCCAAGGGATGGGATTACAGAACCATGACTGCCATGCCCAGCAAAAATATTTTTCTTTAATATGATAAAAATCATAATGGTGGCAAAGAGAGTGAATTCAGCAGTCAGTGTCGTTGGCACAGAGGACTGCCACTAGTAAGCAGGCATCAGAACCTGTGGAGAGACACGTCATTAACCCGCCCTCCTTCTCTGTGTGTGTCAACTCGGTGAATGTTAGGATCCACAGTACTGAAAACACTTCAGAGCAGTTGATAAGCTGAGCTGGAAGAGAGCCGGAACCTAACTGTACTTGGATCCCTCCCCCAGGATGATTGCAGCACAGAGTAAATCTTGAGACAGTTGTCCAATGCTCCAGCTTGCGTGTCTTGGCTGAATTCACATTTAGGAATCAAGAAATAGGCAGATGGGGAAAGAACCTGTGGTCCTAATTAAGTAGGAACACAGAGCAAGAGAAGTTGAATGGAGAAATTTCAAAAGCAGAATGCCTACCTCACATTAAGTAGAAAACGAGTATTTGAATTACTAGCAAAGGGAAAGGAACGAGTGCCTTTTTCGATTTCTAGCAGCTTGGGAGTTCTTAAAGGAGTCAAGGAACAGCCCTCTTGCTTCTTGTGTTAATATTAGTAATTTCTCAGGCTGTTGGTTTGAGTGAGTGGAATGTTCCCTTTTCCTCTAAGGGCTTGGGACATCTTTGTCCTCTTTCTTATATCTCTGTTCAAAAGAATAACAGGTTTACCTCGAATAGAACCACAGTGTTGCAAGGCAGCACAGAAGAGGGGGTGGCTCAGTGGAAGATGCTAAGAAAAATCCACACAAGTCACAACTCACATTTTATTCTTTGGGTAAAGAAGGTTAAATCTCCCAGCTTGACATCTGAAACCCATTCATTTAGCACAGGAAGACATACACAAATGTATACTTAGATAGCTTCTGTATTTTAAATAGGTAAATGGAAGAATGTTTTTCTGAAATGCAACTTGAAAATGTGATTAAAAATAGCTTATATCTCTAAGTCAGTATTTGACCCTTGATTTGGAAACGGGACTCTGTGCACACATGCCCACACTATGTGAAACATTCTAAACTGTTTCCAGAAGGCAACTTCCCCAAATTCCAGACCTTAGCGGACACTCCAGTCCTCTCTCCTCAGAACCATGTAGGACTCGCTGAGCCCAAACAAACATCGTTCTGCCCTCTTCTGACAATGCCAACAGTGGCAAACACGGGGGAAAACTTTTGTTATGACATTTCCAATAACCTTCCCTATATAAATCATATTTTCTGCTTTCGAAACAGCTATTGAGACTTAGGAAACTACCACAGTCCTAGAGTCAGGCCCATGGGCTGCAAAGCTGTATGGCATTGCTTTGGGTTGCATCAACATTAAAACATTTTTTTTCCTTCAAACATATCTTACCCTCGATATTTTCAGTTTCAGTGCCCAGGAATGCATTGGTGTCTAATAGATAATATTTAGCAATGGAATACATCTGCTTTCATATATCTATAGAATTCTTTTGAGTAGTAGCAATTTAATCCACATTGCATGGTTTTGACCATGTATTGCATAACATGGGCATGCATTTTGCTGTAGCTTACTTGCTGCAACACACAGTCCCTTTGATTTACTATTTCAGAATCTGCTGCCTGGGAATGAATGATGCAAACAATTTAGAGTAAATCAGTCTTTTCCCCATTCCCCTTCCATAGAGCAGGAAACTGAAGAGCTGGAAGATGAACTTTGTCCAGGATCACACATCTCATTTCTAACTGAGGCCTGACTAAAAAGATGACATACTTTTGATCTCAAACGTCATTCAAAAATTATGACTTTTACGAGTATAATTCTTTAGAAAGGACGGTTGACTTAAGCATCACAGAGTTGAACGTGAGATACATAAAAGAGATGAGCTCCCCAATTTTTTTGTCCTCAAGTCACCTTTTGGGAGGTGACTAAAACTATTTGGTATAATAACTAGAATTAAATCTCCTTGAAGGGTATAAAATAATCCTAATTCTTAAGACTAAATCTGTCACTGTTCCTATAAATGTACTTATTCTACAAGAGGGGGTAAAATGACATTTCAGCTGATTATTCTTCTTATCGGTTGCAATTAAGCAAGAAAAACAGAAAATAAATTTTGGGATACTATTATGATGTTTCTTCCCTCAGCCACAAAATAGGAAATACTGAGATTTTTATCATGTAAATTTTACTGATCCAGTGAATCTTAATGAAATATGAGCTTCAATTCAATCTTACAAATGAACTCTTGCTTCATTGGCATTTACAGTCATGGTTGGGGGCAGGAGGTTGTTGAACAAATGTACACACGACAGCATTTCCAGAGGCTTATAACCGTTGCATTTCATTCGAATTTTTCATAATGTTCAGGACTAGTTAATTCACTTTGCAGTTGCATGTTTTAAAAGGCATATAGTAATTCCTAGTACATGCCTCTACGCAATATTGAAGACAGAGAGACATACATATATGTGTTTGTGTATATGTAAATTTTGTTTTGTCTTGATAAAAAGAAATTCTAATCTATGAAAATGTTAATCAAGTCATTTTGCACCTGGTAAGGAAATACACGAATGTTGGTAAATATTTAAAAACTTCAGGTAAAGTTCCAGCAAATCAACTCAAATGAAGAGTTTAAGACGTAACACAGCCATCTGAAATAATAACTTTTCACATAACATAATCAACACTTTATTTGAAACGTGACCTTGCTAGAGGCTCAGGACTCAATTATACACTCCAGCTATTTTTAACTCCCCTTCCTCCAAAATCCAATCCATTTAAGGAGGAGCGTTTACCTATTCTATCTTGATTTTTATTTCTTCCAGCAGCTACCATACATGAAAAGCTTTTCAACATTTTCAACAGGCAAAACTCATTTTGTATAAAGGAACACAAACTTTTCCTCCCCTTTCTTCAGGCACACGTAGCCAGCTTCTGTGTGGACAGCCCTGCATCCTTTGATACCTGGCTCTCTCTAGATGCCCCTGACTGTCACCAGGGGCTTCCTTAGCACTTTGGGGGCTGCTTTACAAAGCATTCAACATTGTTTAAATTGTTCAGAAGCAAATGGAACTTTTTTCCCTATTTACTTCCTCTTCCCTAAAGAGAAGTAATCCTCAGCTCCTCCCTAGAATCTGCCCACTACATGCCTATTTACACAAGTATCAGGCACCAGAGGTCTGCACCCCATCACATACCATGCCAGTTTCTAAGAGTACGAAGGCTGTTGGAGCAGAGATTTTTTTCCATTGGGAGCTGAGTGTAGCAACGTGTCTGTCAACACGGGACCCTTGGATGCCCAGATCAGACTATTGTCTCGTGGTCCCACCTGCCTTGGCTCTGATTGATGTAGCAACAGTATCTGTCATAAGGGCTGTTCTGCTTGTAGGAGCAAACGATGATACTGTCCTGGGGTACAAAGAAGATGCTGTCCTCGGGCTCAGGGTGGTCAGCTGAGCCCTTGACGTCCAAGGCACTGTAGGCGAGGGAACTGCCCGAGGGGCAGTAGCCATCCAGATATCTGGACGTCTCCTCCTGACGCCCACTCTGGACTAGACTCTGGCATTCTGCTTCCTCTGTGCGGGTGGGGGTGGTAATGGAGCTGGCCATAGGCACCTCACCTGGCCCCTGTGGGAGCAGCTTCCCTCTGAGGCCTGCCTTCTTAGCCAGTTCATCTGAGCTCCCCTTGCCGGATTCCAGGTCTGAGGGGGTCCTCAGCAGTTCCACCACTTCCTTGTCCTTGGGTTTCCGGAAACAGGGTAACTTGCGGACCCAGAGTAGCTCATTCTCTGGCCACTTGGTGCATCCCTCGGTTTTCCTGGCCAGGGCAATGGCTGCGATGCCTGGTAGGCAGATGGCTGGCCCGATGGCCAACAGAGGGATGTTCCCCAGAGTTTCCCCCTTCATGCCAGAGACAGTGAACATGAAGCCAAAGACCAGAAAAACACTGACCAGGGCCACCACCAGTCCAGTCCTCGGATTTATGTCATCAGGCCGCATCTTTCACTCCATTCAGGTTGGGAGCTGCTTGGTAGCCAGCGAGCACCCTTTCTCTCTTCTGTGGAAGTCGAAACCACAGGGGTTAAAACATCCAATCCAACTTCCCACCCGCCAACTCTTTCTTGCTATCTCTGAAAGACTCTTCTCTCTCTCTCTCTCTCTCTCTCTCTCTCTCTCTCTCTCTCTCTCTCTCTCTCCTGTCCTCCCCTCTGTCCTCTCTCTCTCCCCTCTTTTCCTCCCTCCCTTCCTTCCTCCCCCTCTCCTCACCCCCCCATCTACTATTGCAACCCTGTCTCTCTCACACCAACGTGTACCAAGTAGGGTCACCGAGTTACCTGAAGGCTTCTGCCACCTCCCGTAAATGGAGAGAGCCTGAATGTCTCCAGAAACCTTCGTATAGGCTGTCCCTCGATTCTCTTCCTAGGCGCAGAGAGCCAAGCCTGGCTTTTCCACCGACACCGCACATAGGAAGTGGAACAGGGGAGGAGGGTCTTTCCCAGCCTGGCTCTTGGCGTGTAGGTCGCCGGAGCTCTGGAAGCGGAGCCTGGCGCAGCGATCAGAGTGGGCGCGCAGCGCTGTCGCCGGCGGGGAGGGAGGACTCTGTCCCGGCAGGAGGAAAGCGCGCGAGCCTGGCCGCCTTACATCACTTGCATCGCTCTGGGAACAGAGATGGACGCGCGGGGGCGCGAGGGGGTCAGAGCCGGGTGGTCACGCCAAGCGGGCTGCGGGGGGCTTTCGTCCCAGAGCAGCGGGCGGGCGTGTCCAACCGCGTCCAAGCCGCTACCCTAAGAGGGAGAGCAGATCCTCTTGCCCACGAGGCAGCCGGTGCAACGTCCGAGTCTGGGTTCCAAATTCAGGGTCTGAGGGCTCCGGGGCCAGCGGGAGGTGAAAAGGGGACTTGCTACCTTGGCCAGTTCCAGATCTGAGAGATGTCTCTGCCCCGACAGCAGCCAGATGCTCTGGGGCTGCCCCTACCCCTCTCCCTGGGCAGCTCCTCGAGGCGCGAGGTGCCCTCGAAGGAACCGGGTCGCACTCTGCTCCCTCCTAACCTGAGCACCCCAAGAGTGCGCCCGATTGTAGGAGCGCTAAGACCTCGGGGTCCTGCGTGCTCCTAGGAGTCACCAGAGTTTCCTCCGCTGGTCTCCCAGCTTTGCTCTTGGCAGAAGATGACTTTGGAAACTCAGTCCCACAACCCTGGTTCCAATGGCACCCAGTGGAGCAAGGAAAAAGGGATCCCGGTTCTGATCTTCATTCAGGGTTGTCCAGGTAGCCAGCAGGAGAGGCTTTGATTTGGCGATGGGTGATGCTGCTTTGTGCTGCTTGACTCCTGTCTGGCTAGTCTCAGGCAGGGTTCACGGGATGTATGGGTTTCTCTGGCCCAAAGGGAAGACTCGATGTGGCCGTAATTCTTCACCTGGACTGTTTAAGGTTGAGGAGAAGAAGTAGGAAGGTAAGAAGTACATTCTTTCATGTTGAGGCGCTGTTTCTGGGCAAGGAATTTTGATGCCCTGGACTTTTCGAACTAAGCTTGCCCTGTGTACCAGAGTGAGTGACACCACCTTCCTGAAAAGTAATTGTCAGGTGACTTATTTTATTTTATTTTTTTTAAAAGAAAACAAATCATCTTTTTTTAAAAAATTTTACATACCAATCCAAATTCCCGCTCCCTGCTCCCATTCCCTCCACTTACCCTCCACCTCACCCCCCATGCAATCCTCAGAGAGGGTAAGGCACATTGCTCTGGGGAATGTCCAAGGCCCTCCCCACTATATCTAGGCTGCGCAAGGTATCCATCCAAAGAGAATGGGTCTTGCCCTCTTTGCTCATATTCTCACTCTGTCAGGAGACTTTTAACACTAGATGTCTGAGCAAACACTGTGAATATTACATACATATAAAGTTCCTAGCACATGGCTTTGGTGCATGATTCGTGTTCAAAATGCATTGGGATGTAGACTCTTTTCCTCTCATCCTACGATCCTAGTGCTCTCAACGGAAAGTGGGAGCCAGATCATCAAAGACCTGCTTGTAGCTGAGGATGCTTGGCTTTACCCACTAAGCGGTTAAGCACAGTGGGAGGGGTTTAGGCAGAGATTATTGCAAGCTTTCAAGGTTTTGACAGATGGTGCCATCAGGTTAGAGGGTGTAAGTCAGAGCTTGGAGCCTCGTTCATGACGCCAGGCAAGATGGGACGTGGCCGCAAGAATCCCAAGACGGGAGAGGTCCTTGAAAGAAATTGGTTCTGAAGAGCGATTACGGATGGGTTGGTGCACCCTGGCTTGAGGCAGAGGGAAGAGCCAAGGTGGATCCACTGGTTTCTCATTTCAGCCAGGGTCACCAGAAGCCGGGCTTCTTCTCATTTTTATTCTGGTGTTATCGTGTGTGTCTCTTGTATTCAAGCTTATTAAATTGCAGTTGCAGAACCACTTAAGAAGGAGGGAAGAAGAAAGGGCGGAGGGCTAAAGTGAAGGACCAGACGGGCGGCTATTTGGACCAGGAAAGTGGTGGCTTTGCTGTCATCTCTAAGTGCAGGTATCTGCTTCTGTAGGCAGATGTGTCTGGGCGGCAGAGGAGCCTGAGGACCCACACCTGTTAGTCTGTTTCCCAGACTCACTGCTGCTCTGGAAGTTGGTTTTGTTCAGGAAAGGGGGGAAACCAATTAGTTACTTGTACTCCAATTACGGAACACTCTTCTCTCCCTGAAGCCCCCGTTCTCATCCTTTATTGGTACCCACTCATCCTCCCATCACTCACTTGGAGGCTATGTCCTAGAATTCTCCTTTTGTATAAGTGGAACTTGTTCTGTCGCTGGACCTCCCTCTCTGCGCTCTCTTGCCTTACCCGCTCCTTCCAGGGTCGTTTCAAACAGCCTGATGGCTCCTAAGCCTCTTTCACTCCTCCTGTTCCCTCACTTTCCGGTTTATAGCATCCAATTGCCTGCTTGATACTGCCCTTTGAATCATCTCTAGACGGCTCACGTTCACATGCCAGCGGGAACTCTCCTGTCCTCCCAGCTTCTCTTTCTCAGTGAGCTCCTAATATCCTGTAGGGCTAACAACATAGTTGGAACTAGAAGCTGCTTTTCTTTCTGCTAGAATTTCGTCTCCTAGGTCCTCTGGCTATCTCCCTGTCTGCTGTGACCCTACGAAAGCCACTCCACCATCCCAGGTTTCCACTTCTTTTAAAGTGATTTTTATTAAAATCACCAAAAAAATAGTGATTTTATTATTTAAAGTGATATTATTAATAATATTTTATTATTAGTGTTTTTACTAGCACATATTCGCTATACATAATATTAGGCTTCATGATGACATTTTCACTCCTATATTGGTATATTTCAAACATATTCATCCCCATTACTCTCTCTTCCTCTGAGTCCCTTCTTCTTCCCAGATTTTCTCCTTTTAGTTTTATAACATGGCTGATTTCCCCCATCACCGTCATTCCAGTGGACACATATTGTCAGGCAAAAGGGCCAAGTACAGTGAAAGTACATTAGTTTAAAAAAATCACATCATGGCACTGGAGAATTGGCTCAGCAGTTAAAAGCACCTGCTGCTCTTGCAGAGAAGCTGGGTTCCGTTTCCAGCACCTACACGGTCCAGTGCACCCAACGCCGCCTCCGGGCTCTGTGGGCAGCAGGCAGGCAGCAGAACACTCATATACGCAAAAAGATCATCACAACAGTTGGGATTTCTTCCTTGGTGGGGTGTTTTAAGTGCCTCCCTTTCTGTGATGTTTCGATGTTTCATGCAGCAGACTGTGCTAATGAGGGAGGTCCACTTCACAGTCCCAGTTAGAATCTACAGAGCCAGGTTTAGGGTGTGTCCCCCTCCACCCCCATGGCTTTTAGACCAGTTGCTGTTCAGAGTGAGTTTCTGGTCCTCCTGTCTTCAACTGAGCTGTATCATCTTCCCTTTCTTTCTTGATATTCCCCGGCTGCCACCTGTATGCCTTCTGGGATCTCACTTTAAATAAATTTATATACAGGGCTGAGGAGATAGTTCTGTTGGTACAGTGCCTGCTTTATAGACATAGTGACCCCATTTTGGATGCCTAGCCCCCACTTAAAAGCTGGGTGTGGTAGCATGTCCTAAACACCGGTACTGGGGGTTGAGACTCAGATGCCTGGAGCCCATTGGCTAGCTGTCTTAGCTGAATGCATGAGCGCCAGGTTTAGTGAGAAACCCTGTCTCAAATCATAAGGTGGAGCTCAATAGTAGAAATCACCCAGCTTCAATCTCTGACCTTCACACCCAGGTGGCATGCACATGTGTATACCCACATGAACCTGTACATATGATACACAGACCAGACACACAGACACACAGGCACAGTGTGTCTGTTATATCTTTGTCATCTTGACACAAACTGGAGTCATCTGGGAAGAGGAAACTCCAATGAAGGTGTCCTCCTCAGATTGCCGATAGGAAAGTCTATTGGAGTATTTCCTTTAGCAGTGATTGGTGTGGGAGGGTCCAGCCCACTGCAGGAAGCACCACCCCTGCGCAGATGGTCCTGGGTTAAATAAGAAATCCATGAGATACCTGAGTAATCCATGGAGAGCAAGCCAGTAAGTAGCTCCATTCTGTGGCTTCTGCTTCAGTTCCTGCCTCCCGGTTCCTGTCTTGAGTCCCTGCCGTGACTTCCCTCAGGACAGACAGCAGAAAGGACACCAGAACACACAGATACACAGACACAACTCCTTTATAAATCTTTTCTCTTGCAAGAAAGAAGAGGGTTGTGTGTTATGTTGGCCGTTTTCCTTCACCAGGTTTTATTGGTGAGGCTTCTAATCTGCCATCTGACTCAGATGGATGAAATATTTGGGTGAGGAATCGGCTGAACCCCATCTCATCTCTATTCTTCCTCAGTTCTCTGGCAGCCACTCCTGAGGGGCTGAACTGATGTCAGTATTGGGCAGCTCTGCCAAATGTAGTGCTGGAAATCCAACTGGGTTCTCACGAAAGCAAGGCCGTCAGGCAAAGGCCTCCTCTTATTTGTAGAAACAGTGAATTCCATTCTGCCTTCTTAAGCTGTGTGGTTCATCTCCTTAGGCACTAGGTAAGTCCTGGGCATAAAATCACAGGAAACCCCAATTACTGTTTAATTATAAGGCTCATTCTCAATGCCAGTCTTTCCCAGGAGTACCTTGAGATGGTCTCTGGACAGCAGGTGTTCTTGCCCACATCAGCACAAATAGTGGGTGGAGATGGGAGTCATCACTCAGGGATAGATAAGCCATCTTCATATTTACTTTCTTGCCCATGTGGACCAATAGTGCCAGAATTCTAAAACTTTAAGCAGTTCTTGCAATCCATGCAGGTGTATGATCATGAACAAAAGCATTTCTTGTAAGAGAAAATTCAGAGAACAAAACAAGGCTTCGGGAGGTGGGTGTCTGGGGAGAAAACAAGGAACACTTTACTTCCGAAATCATGGCATGCTGGAATTTGTTGGCTACCCTGACTTTCTTATACAGATAGAATTCAGAAAGTTTTATTTTAATTTTCCTCAGTTATTTGTACTTGAGTGATTATGATGTGCATGGTACTGTGCTAGGGACCGGGCAGACAGGCCGGACGAG